CTGTTCTAATAGTGTTGATCGGTGCTGGGTCCAACGTTTGGGTTGGAGTTCCCTCTTATGGGCAGGTCTCCGCTTTTTAATTTGGAAAAATTGAGTGTTCTGAATAAAGCTGGATAGTGAGTGAGTTTGCCAGGCCTTTCCGTGTGGTGCTAAAGAATGCTTTTGCATCACTGTATGAGCATCATGGGTGCTGGCTTGGCGTCTTATCAGTTGTTAACTATCTGTTTGTGTTCCAGTATTTGTTTATTTACCGATTTTTTTTCTTAGAATACTATCCAGAAGGCCATCCAGATTATGCAAATGTGATCGAGACCAAGGCGTCGTTGGTCCGATTGAGAGGGCTGGACTCTGGCACAGCATTTCGGATAAAGGTAGACGAGTTTATGGTTAGCACAACAATATTTAATTTATCATGTAGTGGAAAAAGCGAATTATCACAAAAATTAGAGGGAGTAGGCTACAAAATATTTTCTAAATCAGTCTGAACTAGCGAGTATGTTCGATAGACACCATGATAAATAACAGAACTTTCGATACTGTGAGCCTAACTCAACTTGTTTTTGTTTACTTTTCTTATTTTTCTTTGTTTTTGTTCAGGTAAAATCTGTTTACAATGATGTTCAATCGACCGAAGCGATAGAATCGATCTTTCGAACAAGTGGAACGCGTGAGTATTGCCACGTTAACTTATTTTTATATTGCATTTACCTCTGGAGACCAGGTTTTTATCCAACCAATTTTACCCTGAGGCGGAAGTGGGTAAGCGCTTATCGGTATCTGCTTTTATACCCACGATTTGATGGTAAAACCTCTGATGGGTCTCGTTGAAGCCTACCAGTCCCTTTCGGGTTTGTTGATTGGTATCGAACTCGTCTGGAAATATACTCTCCAAGCTGTACATCGGCTGGTCTGCGAAGACGAGTGTATTTTAATGCAGCTACGATTTTACGTGAAAACAGTATGCACGGCGTATTAAAAAAAGGGATGGATCAACGCCAAATGCTTATTCTCTGATATTATCACGAGAATCACAGTCGTAAGGATTTTGTTTACTTCCATTGTTTGATTGTTTCTATATTATTTATTCCGATACATCTAGAGCACACGATCAACTAATAATTAATACATACTTATGATGTAAAATTTACTTTGGATAAACAGTCATTAGAATTGGTTTTCCTAAAGATGAAGTACTGACTCAATGGCAACGTAATAACGTTTTTTCGCGTTTTGGATGGTCCTCTTGTCTTCCTTCACCATCTTTTCTTCATTACAGAGGGTTGCTAGGTTCTACAGATAAATCATAACTCTAGATAGGAACGCTCTATGCAGTATTGTTACCGTATCGTTCTGTGATTGGACGTCCCAAATAGGAGTCCAGCGAGATTGTTCGCAAGAAAAGCATTGAGCTTTTTTCCAAGACTGGAAACACCAGCGCCGCCTAATGCGGCTGATCGGCGGCGTTCATCGGTAGTCGTCGATCGAAACAATAGCGATTTCGCACCCACTCCCGTACCCTGTTTCTCGGCTAGGCAAATACTAAACCCGAGCGCCACCATGGTGCGCGACGCAAAAGCGAGAATGTGGGTTGTTGGGAAACTCGATGAGGATTTTTTCACAAGAATGCTGGGTTGTGAACAAAACTTTCGCCCCAGGCGGGACTAGAACCCGCACCTCTCGCTTTCCGGGCAAGTGCGCTACCAGTTACGCTACCGGGGCACCATTTCATTCCAACTCAGCTTTCTAACAAACAAAAACAAGTCAAAATTGATGAGGATTGTTTTTCGACTATTTAAAATATGGGTGTACAATCAGAATGACAGCTAATAAAAAAGAGATTTGCAAAGTAAGTTCACCAAGATTGGTAAACTAAGATGGTTCCCTCAATGCCTAATGGTGGTCCGAAAGTCTGACATGAGACAGCGTATCACCTTCTAGAGTACATAGGCATCTTTTCAGCAACCTGGCCTATTTCAGAGGCAGATCACGGAACGTGTCTCCATGTTGCCGAAATTCTGCCCTGATTCCTGAAAAGTAAGGCGTGGAGTACTTTCAAAAAACCACTTTCTCCCATTCCACAGGGCCCATATTACTCTGAGCATTCAAAAAATTCATATTGTGACGAAACTTGTCACAATCGTATGCGATAGAAAATTTACAGTCAATCTTCAATATCGGAACAAAAATGAAGCGTTTGGCGTCGAGCAGTTGCTTACTGGGATGCGCCAAGCACTTCGCTTCCGTTCAGAATCACAATCTTAGTGACACTTTTAATGCAACTTGGCCTAGTATACAATGGCTTGCGGGGCCCAGCCGATGTATTTTGATTTATGATGAAAGAGTGTTTTTATAAGTAGGAAGCTCGGCTAACAATTAAGTCACCCCGAAGCAGGGTGAAAATCGGTCGAGGAAACGGCAACGGCTCGTCGAGGATTTTCGCCTGTTCATCACGCTCTCCGCGCGGACATTCACTCTCGCCACCCGCGAGCCGTCTGTGCTCTCCGCGCGTACATTCACTCTCGGCACTACTCTCGCACAGTAGAGAGCCATGGTCGAGGAATTCCTCGACCGTTATTCACCCTGCCCCGAAGGTATAAAAATAATGGTGGCCAGGATAGCGTACAACCCAGGATTTGATCTTTGGAGCGAGCGCGTGATAAGCATAGCCACTGCTACTGTACCACTCACGCCCATGAGCTAATATCACGCTTCCCAGCGGGAGATGCTTCTAATTCTTCATTTGTTTTAGCTGAGTACGACTACGACAATTCAGCAGAGTCATTCAGTATCCGTACTCTGCCGCCAGGATTCGATCTCGCCACCACAACAACGACGGCGGCAGTGAGTGGAAGTGATTACCTGTACTCGACCGAAGATCTCGAAGAGAATGAACCGTCAACAAGTGAGTTCGCCATTCCATTCCCAGAATTTTTTATCATTATTTTTTATTTTGTTACGTGTTATTATATATCCCCACAAGATCTTACGACTAATGTTTATCACCATTAGCCTGACATTACACAATGGCGTTGAGCTATCGGAAACAGGGGATTTACCTATACCATCACAATTTACCACATACTTATGAGCGTTCACCCCGTGCGGTGAAAACCAGCACTCAAGGAAAATAAGCCATCAAAGCAACTTAGGTAAAGGACCAGGAACTTTACTGTCGTTACCAAAGGGTGTTATTGTTTCAGCTGCTTTTTTTTTTCACAGATTAAATTTACTCTGAATCTACGTAGCGGTCGACAGCGTCGCACTCGGAAAATGGTTTCTCGCAATTCTTTTTCTCATTCGAAAAAAAAAGTGCATCAAGATTATCTGGAATTTTTTTTAAATATATTCGGATCCTTAAGACTCATGGATTCGAAGATATTGCTAAAAGGCGTGATATGTCGATATTTGGAGGGAATTGCTCAAGTGAGAAAAGATATGTAGTACACGAAAAATTGTCCCTGCGAGCATTTGACGGCTACAGTATCCGTTCTCCCTAGGTCTCGAAAGAGTTCATGTCTACGAATTATAAAAGGAACAAATTGTCGCTTGATTATCTCCTACTTGTCTCGGGAGGGATACAACCTTTTTATTTGATCAATGTATAAAATTTTCTGATCATTCAAAATTCAGGCTCTAATTCAACGTCTCCTCTTGCATTCACAATACAATCACGACAATACCTAAATCGCCACAAACGCCAGTGTCATCGAAGAGCATATCCTTCTCAAATACACCACAACAATCTATGTCTACATCAGCTTCCTCCATGTTTCACTGACTGTTGCGGAAACGTCGAAAAGGTGAGACCGCTCCTGAAATTGCTTCTGAGTCACTGTTATATTCGTTAGTTGTTCTCGCGCAAAAGTCTCACTAGTAACGGTGTTGATAGGTGGCCTGGGGATTGCTCGACACTGCAGGGTTTTTCTGTCAAAAAGGATTGGGTGTTGCAAACCAAACGCTAAACGCGGATTTGCTTTGACATTGAAATTGGTGCCTACGTTCATGACAAGCCCGATAAGACACCTTGGGCAAATCAAGCATCTGAACGATATCGAAAATTTTTCAAACCCCCAGAAAAATTATGGAATGTTGCCCTCGCCTTTCTAATTGTTCCACTCAACCAAAAGTCGATAGCTGTTAGGGGCTTATCGCCAGCCCTTGCCTTTCTCAGCGTTGAAAGTCAATTATGGGTGGTGCCGGTGTCTAACAAGGGAGGTCGTTCAGGGTGTGGAGCGCTTTTTCAAAACGGTTTTTGCATGCTGTAGGGGCTCTCACGGGGACGACAATACTATGTTTCATTTTCGCTGAGCGGCCTTCTGAAGGCCAAAAATTGGTAGGGAAGTGGTCCAAGGTTCAATCCCTCTTGATGACAGAATTTTTGCACTTTAGTTGGAGCTTCGAAATTTCCTTAAAATAGCGCCAGCACCAGTACTAGGTATCGTACTCATCATTAAGACCATGAGCAAGAAATGCAGTCAAACTTTTTCCAGAATCTGTGGAAAAAAGTTGTAGCGCCAGAAAGGCGCCAAACGGCGCCAAACTAGCGTAAATTGAAGCTATCGGATAAAATTAATGTCATATTCGTGATCAGGGCACTCGATATTCCCTAAATCAGAAAGTTCTTGAGAAAATTGAGAATTTGACCTGGATCCGAAAAATTGGCCAGTGATAGGTCAGGTAGCCGCCTAGTAGTGCACTGGAAACGAGTTTCCCAGTTATCCTTCTCAAATAACGAGAAGTATCACTGCTAAATGGACAATGGGAGACACCCAGGCTGGTAATGGGCAACAGGGCACCATGATTTTGAAGTCGGCAGATTCTCCCCTTCATCAAGACGTGGTAATTGGGTCCACGGCTCCTCCACTCGCAAGGCTGCGTGTCCATAGATGGAGCGATTTCAAGGACTGCGACATGATGGAAGATGTTCCCTATGAAACCGAACTTTAGTTCCCGTGAGCCGACAAGGCATTGCGCTTGATTTCGGCGCCGCACTCGTATTCAAGTCGCTCGGCTACAGGTCGTCATACCTGTAGCCCATGGCCACCCTCTTTTTCGAAGTTAGGTCAAAACCTAGATTTTTCCTGAAATTTGGCATGTGGGGGTAGATCAGGGTCCTGTACACGATTATGGCGTTCGTTTTTGACGTCGGCGCCATTTGGCGCCAGTTTGGCGCTGCGAACTTTTTCTTCCAATTTTTGGTAGAAAACCCATTTGCAAGGGCTACTGACGGTCCTGAATGAGAATATAGCGTTAATTTTGACGCTGAAGCAATTTGGCGCCAATTTGGAGGTGATTATCAAAAATGCAAAAGTTAGCCCAGGAGCGGACTCGATCCACAAAGTCGTGCCAACCCCAGTCCACCACGCTATCCACTCGGCCACCTGCTCGCTGCGATGTATAGGGTGCCGACGACGCCTATGAAACCTCTACACTTTCTTCAGCAGTACCACGTACAGTGCTTCAATTTTGAGCGAATTTCGAGTTGTTTTCGATATTATCTTCATCGGCGCCCTTCAAAATGCAGGTGGTCGTTTGTACAGGTCCGAAACTTCACTCCAAGGCAGCAAAAACCACCCCTTCTTAACGAATTTTTCGACCATTTTTTTGGCCTTCAGGGGCCGCTCAGCGAAAACGAAACGCAGTATTGTGGTCTACGTGAGAGTCCCTACAGCATGCAAAAAACCGTTTTGAAAAAGCTTCCCACACCCTGAACGACCTCCCTTGTAAGTCGTCTCCCTACATTCTTGTCCGCAATATCTGTACTCTCTCCTTGAGGCACAGTGTTTTTTCATCATCAGGTCCTCAACATCTACTACAAATTAGTTCCCTACTTGGGATGTGTTGACAGTCTCTTTTTGACGCGTTGTCTTCTAGTGCTGATTCGCATTGACCCCCCGCTTCCTTTTCTCTCTCCTATGTCGTAAAATAGCTTTGAGTTGCAATCCTTAGCTATCCTCTAATGAACTCCGAAACAACAGAAAAATTTCCTTTCCTTTTCCTTCTCTTCTCAAAAAATATGGAACTGAACTAGAATGGGTCTCTGATTATCGCCTTACTTTATTGTAGCTATGAATCTACCCTCTGATGGCACATGAAGTAGCGAAGAGCTTTACGAGTGTCCTTGCGAAGCGCCTCCCTGACATGCGTATTTTTCTTACACAGATGAGTTCGCTGCTGTGCCGCCCCACTGCGACAACATGCATCAATCTCTGCACGCGACATCACACCGTAATGCTTTAGCCAAAGTAGCGTTAAAGCTCTTTCACCGTGAACCTGCTATTGGCCAACGAAACTGTTTAACCTGTGAGGAGAAATTTCTGTGTGTATCTTCCACCATCGGGGGAATAGACAGCAGCAGCCGATTCGGCCGCTCAACTGTGGAGTATGGAAATGTATGGTCGGCGCACTACGGAAATTTGGGTAGAAGCGGCCGCACTGAGTTTTGATGCCCTGCTAGAGCTATATCAAATTTTCCTTTCAGTATATCGAGTCACACAACAACTCGCGGCCATCATCAGTAGGACTACTATCGGCTGCTACCACTACCACAAACTACAGCTGCTTCCAACAGTCAAGTACTTCCCACTACAATCTTCTGCACTCACAGGTTTCTTGTCACCCGCAAGGTTTCTAAAACAAGCAATATAAAGTTATCTGAACTAAAATCTTCAGTTGATTTCAAAAACAAACTAACCCGGCATACGAGTTGTCGAAGAAGTGGACAGGGCGACGATGAGAGTGGAGTGAGTGGCCCCATTCTTTCTCTTTAAAAATGGATTGACACGACTTCCCTATAGAAACAGTCATTTGTTATTGAAATCGAATTTTAACTTCCTCAAGGATATGTGAGTTAGTCCAAATTTGGCTGGCTTTGCATAATATGCACGATTTTTTGGCGCGTGGGTACGGCCTTAACGTGAAGTTCATTTCCAGACTTTCATATGTTCTTACAGTATTCCATCACAGTAATCGGGTACCGACAGGAGGCCCGTCGCGCGGCAAGAAGGCAAGGTCAGCGGACGAGTCGCAGCACTTGCTGTGCAACGTGCAATGATACATTCTATTTAACTTGACGCGACAATCAGCGACTGCGTCCGCTGACTCCGGCCTTCTACCGGCGCACTGAGCCAATGCTGTCGGTATCTGCGGTAATCTTATCCTGTTTTTTGGATGATGTGATGGTGCATCGCAATGTGCGTGTTGAAATCTAACCATCGGTGCTCTACTCGAAGCGTAAATTATTCACCAAATCAAGTCACAGCATACCTGTTGTCCATAGCAACCACCAAAAAATGGTTCTAAGCAGTTGTATTTCTCAGATTTCTGCAGTTAAAGTGCAATCCTGAGTATTTTGTGGTGAAGTAACCAGCTCCTTCGTGCAAAATGTACGGTTCACCCGCCTGGGGCTGTTGTTTCCCTTCAATTCTCCCACCAGCCGCTGCTCAGCGAAACAAATGGCGGCTGAATTTGGTGAACCGTCGTGGATTAGCATGAGCGATGAAGAGAACATGATACGGTAATACTCTAGAATTGACTTTGTTTTGTACTGGATTATGGATGGGTAAAAGGAGTTTAGTGTTGGCTAGTCTGTTGAGTCGCGCGCATGCGTTCGATTCTATTTCAGAGTCGATTATCCTGCTTAAAGCGCAATCGCTCTGGCCAAGGGGCTGCTGGCCCAAGAGGACTGCAATTAGCGAATGTACGGACGGCATTCTTCCGAATTTTCAGATAAATGGACTGTCCAGCAATGTTCGTTTGCGATGCATTTCTGGTGAACATACCAACCGTTGTTACGTCTAACATCTCCGAAAGCCTATTCCGTTGCCCACAATGGTATGACTTTTCTCTTGATTCAGTCAGCTCCTTTTCATAAGCTTTGTAGATGTGCTCCCTATCAAAAACGAAAGAGCGTCGGTAACATGACACCACATGTGACGACGCCCGCCACAAATCTAAATATTTCCTGCCTAATGAAATGATAGCCTGCTAAGTGGTTCTATCATTGTCAATCAAAATCACAACATATTATTTACCAAAATCAGCTACACTACGAACCACTATGTACTATTTTGCGACCGCATTTGTCGCGGTGTACATGTCCCCTCCACACTATGAACTAATCAGATTTACTTGGAGTCGTCGTCACTTTTGGTGCATGGTCTGCACCCCGACGGTCTCTCGTTTTTTGACCCGGAGGAAGATGGTTAAATACTGTTGCACACATGCATACGAGCCTAAATGGATCGATCAGCGCGTGATGCGAGCCTTCTCTTTTTTATTAAGCGGTAGAAGTTATCAGAATTTAAATATTTTAATTTTTGTTAACGACCAAAATTTGTTAGGTTCTTCAGCCATTTTTTGATGTTATGTCACTTATGTAAGGACGATTATAATTTTTAAGCTGTTGAATTACTGGCGACGAATTGCACGTACTAAAAGAATGAAGAAAAAGGTATTGTGGAAGTAGTTTTATAGCTTATTCCAGTTTTTCGCCAATCACACGTTGGATTTACGAGTGTTCTGCATGCTGGCCGGTTCGGTGTCAAAAACCTGGTGGGCTCATCGGATCGTTCAATTAACAAGTAAGCATCATTCCTTTACATAGTAGTGCTCAAAGTGACCTGATTTTTCCTTACCTTTCGCTACTTTTTAATTGGTTTACATCTAATCTTCAAGACATCCGCAATTACACAGTTTTTCTCATCAGCAGGTTTATTTTTGGTGAGGACTCATTTCTTACAAGCTTTACTTTGTGAGCTTTCGCTGTTCCAACAGTTTCCTCAGACTAGGCGGCTACTTCTAATAAGAAAATTTCCAGGACAGTCGTTAGCCAGCAATATTTGTAGATTTTCGATATAGCTGTAATCGTTCGTCCAACTGTAATGAAAAAGAAGAAAAACTGCGAAAAGCCGTCAAAATCTCTTTGCGTGACAGATGCGTATGGGCGGGGTTTGCGCCCCACAAATACGGAAGTCTCATTGGTTGGCTCATTCTTGATGTGGTGAAGTACAGTAAAGTACAGTAGGATGGTGAGATGAAACCAACCAATAAGAGTCTCGTGGGGGCGTGGCGCAATCCTGGCTCATATGATCAGCGGCAGCGTTGTTTTATTTGAATATAAATTCGATTTAGATATCATCGACAGTTTTCTTTCGCTTTTTTTCATCTTGGAAAGCCAACATCACAACTGCTTTCGGACGTGGTTTTCACACCTTGTTCAACCACGGGCCGTGCCTTTGAATATAAAGCAACAGTTTTTTGAATGTTTCCAGATCCCCAAGCGGTTGAAGGTGTTCGTATTGTTTCGTCCGAGACGGACGAGTTCTACGTTTCACGAATATCGATCGATTGGGATTGGCCATCTCACAACAATTTTGATCTCTACCAAATTGTTATCTCCTATGGGTTAAATGAGGTGAGTAAAGTCTTTTTCGAATTGAAAAGGTGCTTTGATCCTATATGTTAAGGCTTCTTTAACGGAAATCGAAGTGACAGAAGCTGTGCAAAAGCCGCTTGTGCTGGACAAACTTGAGCCAACTCATCGTTACCGTATCCACGTTCGGAATGAATCTCTCGAACTTGGGCTGAGTTCTATGGTCGTTCAACTTGAGCAGATTACTCGTAAGTAAGCGCACGGTGAAGCGCTATTGCATGAGCGCTGACACATACACCCTGAGCTGCATGCTATCTTCCCGA